CAAACTATTTTTATCGTCTTTGCTATGAGAGAAGTATGCTGGTCTGTTTTCCCTTGTATATTAGAAAGGCAAAGGAAGTAATTCCAAAAACGTTTAATGTTCCACTCAACAAAAACACATGGATTACTTTCTTGAACGTGTTTTAGTAATGGTTTGCGGGGTTTTAATTTTGTTGTATCGTAATGTCATTTATCGTATAGTTCAGTATTTCTTTGGATTGTTAACAAGGAATTGATTTGTGCATAAGCAAAGACATGTTTTCTCCCAGTAGGGTAAAGTTTTATTGTTTTTGTCTAGCAGAGGTTTGTTTCACAGATAAGACAGGTTTTCAAACACAGGCCCCTATGCTAAACTTACTGTAGAGAACGGTGACGAGGGCAATGGGCATCACTAGGAGTCCCACCAACAGATCGGCCACGGCAAGCGACATCAGAAAGTAGTTTGTGGCGTTCTGAAGTTTTCTCTCAAGTGACACAGCGAGAATGACCAGGATGTTTCCTCCAATAGTGGGGATGATGACCATGACAATAAGCAGGGCGGCCCATTTCAGCTGAAGCTCAGGCGCTTCCCCTGACAGCGAGCTGTTGGCCTCGGGCGGAGCAGGGACTTCTTGAGACATGGTGCTGCAGAGATTACAGCAGGCCTTAGCTTGGGTCTGGGCTCTGATCTTCCTGGTGTTGGACACTCGGTCAGCATGGTCACTGCGTCCTACAGGCAAGGACAGTTCAAGGTCGCTGCACAGGATGCTTCATCCCCATGTGCACTGTACAACAAAAAGGAGTAGCTCAAAATCAGCAGAGGATCCACCACTTCGAGGGGGACAAAAAACAGGTCCACAGCACAAGCTCCAAAGCTGGTTGTAATCCCAACCTTATTGGTATTTTCCCAATGAGATGTCAGCAGGGGTCCTCACTTTCCCAGGCCGTTGGTACTCTTTTAATCCTCTGCGGGCACTTAAAAAAACAAACATGTCTGTATAAGGAAAGGAAATGTAACAAGCCTTCCAAATGTATTTTTGGAGTCTAGTTAACTTTAGAAATAAACGTAATATATTACATTTTTAATGGTCTTATATAAAAACAATTGTATCTAAACATACACGTGTTAAAGTTAATAAAACACAATGTTTTTTTTTTATACAACTAGTGCATTAATCAGGGATATGGAATTTTAATAATCTGAGTCAAATAACGCAATCAAACAGTATTAAATTAAAAAAATGACACGGTTAATAAGCATTATCATGATTCTGTAAGTTGTCTTACCTGCTCTTGTAAGTAGCATCTGTTGTAAATTTAAGTTCCTCGTTGATGTTTCAACTCCATGAGTATTTTTCCGAGCCGCTACGTTTTCACCTTTATAAAACACTTGAGCAGTATTTCTTGCTGGGAGAACAGTGCAGCTTAACCGATGCATTTCAGTCTTAGCACACTTCTTAGTTTAACATATTGTTTAAACTCCCGAATCATCCTTATATTTTCCGCCCTCCGCAAATAAGAACGTGACAAAAAATGTCCTCCTTCAGCGGTTAATCCTAAATCTGTCTCTGTCTGAAGCAGTCCGTGATGTGGAATTTGTTTTCCTTCCACATGTTGGAGGATCCCCCAGTCTCGCCTCGCATCACCTACAGCGATCACAGGTTTAAAACTTTCAGATGTTGTGGCTCCTCCACCTCTCTCCCATTCCCATTCGCTGCCTCTTGTTAACAGCCTGTGATCAGCCGCGCTCTCCCCCGTCTTGTCTGCTCTCTCTCTTCCCCTCCCTCCCCTCCGTCTTGCCCGTGAGTCGCACTCTGTACAAAACAGATGAATGTCTTTGTACTGGCAGTATGCCAGTGGTTCTGGGAGGTAATTTCCCTCAACACAGCCGCCCCACTGTTTATATTTGTCACTTTCTGTTCACTCCTCCATCCGAAGCATTGTTGGGGGGTGTGAACGGGGTTTATGGGGAGATGCTCTCTGTGTGGGGAGGTACTTGAAAATTACACTTGTACCCCATTGCTGTTTTTAGTTTGTCTTCTGAGCTCAAATGGTCGTGTTGGGAATGTAATTTTAAACCGCCATCCAATTTTCTTATACATGACTTCTTCTGAAATGTATTCCACATTTAGTTTTTTTCCTTTGATCTTTCCGCATAAACTTTGTGTTTTCAATCAGTGTACACTTTGTTTTTTAAAGCAGATGCAGAAAATAGAAATAAAAGCTCCTTGGCGTTTACAGAAACCAGATGATGATTCTTAACAATACAATGTGTGAACGCCAGTAACATCTGTGTGACCCTCTGTCTTCCAGTAAACCAAATGTTCCTAGTGATAATTCACTTATAGTGCCCCATAAGAAAGGTGGTTTAATAAATGCAGTTATTATTTGAATTACCCTGTTCTCTTTTTGCTCCTTTTTAAATGGGTTGCTTGTTAATGGGTTGGCTTTAAGACTTTACATGTGTGATTGCTGGTGAAAATCTGAGTTCCCCCAGCCAATCTTTACTATTTGCTAAAAAAAATCTCTATATATTTTTGTTTGATGCAAAGAACAGCTGAAGGTGTGCTAATAGCATGATGCTGACTTCTGCTCTAGCCCATCAAATGCATGCCAAACAGGCACAGTCTTTTAAATCATATCCACTCTTGCTGACTGAGATTGCAACATCGGTTGTCAGATCTACACATTTTGCAGACTTTCAAACTGCTGTAGCAATTGGCAGTTATTGTTCTTGGGAAACTCCGTATTAGTGTTGGGTTGTATTATGTTCTCTGGGAGGTATGCTAATTAATACAAAAATAATTAAAACAACAATTCCCCCGATGCTACTTACAATTTCTCTTGTTTCTCTTTTGCGAGACAGTTGATTTCCTTTTGATTTTAATTATAGTGTTGACTATGAAAGCCATCCAGCCTCTTGGCTTGTTTATTGCAACATTGTCCAGGTTCTTTCACAATGTGTTAGGGTTTGGAAAAGAGAGGAAGCAAGCTAATGAGATCTGCCCCCTTACTATGCGGGTGCATTAGTAACTGCAACAATCACGTGGCAAAATCGTGGGTGTGGGGTGAGTTATTAAGTTACAGCTGTATCAGCTTCTGTCACTCACCGTAGTAGCTGTGAGGCATGCACATATAATCATACAGTCCATTAACCGGTCAAGTAAAAGCCTCATGAATTTTTGTAACCTTTTTTAAGTAAATATTTCACATATCGCTTCTATGACCAAAGTCTTAAAGCACACATATGGTAAAAGGGTCGGAGTACAAAAGTACACTGTGGATTGCAGAAGGGTTCAAGGTCTTCATGTTTCCAAAGAATAAATAATAGGTTTTGTTAGATTTAATTGTCCTTATCAGGCTGAATGGAATAGCAAGCCGTCACAAGATTAACATGACATCTTTTTTTATTATCTTTTCTCATCTGAGGTTTTTAGGCACAGCGCACATTATGAAGATATTTCAATTAGGCTTGACATTCAGGCGTCATTGCTTCACTGCCTTTTTAAGAATAAAGAAATGCAGGATATTGATTCCCTTTTTCCATCCAAGTTCTTCCATTTTGCCTGGGATTAAAGGTAATTGGGTTATCTTTTATCTAGACAAGCTTTAAAAAGGCTTTAGATTCAATTATTTGTTAAGTTTTAGTTCTCTGTTGATTTTAGACTTTCATCCTAGCATTCTTGATGTTAGACTGGTTGTAATAAAGGGAGCAGGACACAGTTTTTCAAAGTGTGAGGCGCGCCTCCCCTGGGGGGCGCCAGAGAGCTTCAGGGGAGGCGCAGCGTGAGACACAAAAGAACGAGAAAAAGACGAGTAAAGTGACACTGTGGAGACCGAGTTCCCCCACCTCACCAAAAAGGCTGTAAAAGTGCTCATTCCCTTCACCTCCACCTACCTGTGTGAGTGCAGGTTTTCCGCACTGACTTTGATCAAAAGCAAGTACCGGTAAAGGCTGCAGCCAGAGGATGATCTGCGTTTATTCCTCTGTGCATCAAAGACGCAGACTCATTGTTCCCACTAAAGTAGGGGTGAGTGTAATAAGGAGGCAAAGTTGACGTTCAGTGTGTTGCCGGGAGCATATAAGGATTTATCCACCATGTTGAAAATGTTAAAAAAAATATGTCTTGAGAACACGGCGTGCGGAAATATACGGGTCGTGCTGCAGCTAGATGTGCCTGTCCTCTGTAAGAAGGTGTCGGCGACTGACATGCAAGGAAGAACGGCTGTCCACAGGCTGTTCCAACTTTAACAACTGTATTAACTTCCAGGGTAGTGAATTGAACATGCAATTGTAATTGGGTGTGTGGTATATTTTCATGCACGGACACGCATGTTCCACAACACACAAACTGAACAACACTCAATTTTCCGATCGCTACCAGCGTCCTTGCGATCTTGTTATAATAACAGTGCACGTTACTGATGCAATATGGTTGAGACCATTCGGGCTTATTCTAGAGGGGTGCAAGGAATAGTCCAAGTAGTGGGGGAGTTTTATACAATATGTTCAAAACATAAAAATAAAAAGGTTTAAAAAAGTTATTGTTTAATGTTTTAAGGAGGTGACGCTACTCAGCCAATCAAATCGGTGCAGTCAGCACGATAGATTCAAACACACACAGAGACGAGACAAGAGGAGAGAAACAGTCGGAGTAATTTCAAATGGCGGGAAGGTAGACAGCGAAAACAGAGCATTTAATTACCTTTTCTCTTACTGGACCTCTTTGAAATGCAATTGAATACCCCTGCATTATAGCAACAACAACAATAATAATAATAACAGCAATAATAATGGGGGGGGGGGGCGCGGCTGTTCTTATATTCTCTGAGGGGAGGCTCACCTACCCACACTTTGAAAACCCCTGCTATAATGGATTGATGAAAACACCCTCAATTGAAAATGTGTGTCTGAGGATTCAGCCAAGTATGAATTAAAGGGAGTGGAAGGATGTATTTAGGAGTAAGTTCAAGTGCCTTATTGTTGACCTGCTCTTAATGTCTCCCTTTGTCTCTCTTCAGGACCCCTGAGCAGTGTCCCAGTGTGGTGTCACTACTGTCAGAGAGCTACAACCCTCATGTGCGCTGTGGGGCGGCCATGGCCCTGGGCATCTGCTGTGCTGGGACCGGCAACAAGGTGGGCGCTTTGACCCAAGTTTTTCTTTTCTTTAATGGTGTTGAACTGCAGATACAGTGTATTAAAAATAAAGGGGCTACCTGGAGGACTAGATGCTGTCTTATCTGATTATGGACTTTTAAAATGAAACGCCCGACAATTTGGGATTTAACACCGATGTGTAAAAAAAAAAGTGGGCAAATCTTTAATATTGGTTGTCTTAAAAAAGGAGAAAGCCATTGGTCTGTTCTTTGCTCTGGTCAATGTATCCCCTCTGGCTATTTGAGAATGTACCACGTCTATACTCCAGCTCCCATCCAACATACTCTACATAAGGGTAAACCGTCTCGCTTTGGGTTTCTTCCATTTTTCCCCATTAGCTGTGGGGTTTCTTCTTGTCTGATGTTAGGGTCCAAGGACAGAGAGTGTCCTACTCATATTCTGTACGAACTGTAAAGTCCTCTGAGACAAATGTAAATGTTTGATATTGGGCTATATAAATAAACTTTGATTGATTTTCTACCTACTGTAGAAGTTGCAGGTTACAACAGTCTCATTTAAACCTAATTTGCTTGAAGACAATTGTAAATCATATAGTGTGATCGAAGGCTAAAGTCCTGCAACTATGAGAGAAGCGATCTTACTTGTAAACTATTGACATTTGCAAAGTTCAGAAATGAGGAGCTCATTAATTGTGGAAAGTTCTGGTGGTAAATGTGCTGATGGAACGGTCCAAATTGGCTCAGAGTCACCAGGCTTCACGATGCCACGGCGTCTGGGTCAATGGAGTCCGAAAGGAGAGTTAAGAAGACAGGAGTCGGGGGTGCTGCCAGTTCCTGAGCTGTCTAGCTATGTGGGCTGATCAGACTCAGGTGCCATAGCCTAACCCGAGTCATGGATCACTGCATCCTGATCCCTGAAGCACCAATGTTAATGTTTTTACCGAGAAAAGAGCCACTGCTTGGTTTTTCCAGAAAAGCCCTCGAGCACATTTGGTCCTTAATGAAAATAATGATGTTGTGCCAAGAGAAGTGGGTCACCTATCCGCCATCATCATACACCTGGGGCTTTGGCTATTTTCTTACTATAAATGTGAAAGAAAAAACGGCACAGGAAAACAGTTTTGACTTTGCTTTAGTCGGTTTGTTTATACTGATTTCATGCCATAATTAAAATCTTAAATAAATACTTCTTTAGGGAATTGGATGTTAGCATTGTTCCCTAAAATCCATCCATCATTTCAGAATACTGTCATATGGTCCACTTTTTTTATAAATATGTATGAATATGGTATTTATGTTGTGGTAAAGTGTGTACTGCACTGTTCCAATTATTTATACAAGCTTCTAGCCAGTTTTTAACAGTAGTAAATTGAATGTGATTTAAAGTTCACCTCGGACGAGGCCAAGCCTGAAGAAAACAGTCCTACATTCAAAATGGATTAAGAAGATCTAAAGCAACCACATTATGTGTCGTCCTGCTCTGCTGATTGAGCCTGACAGTAAATACCCTCAATTAAACCCCTCGACAGCCTATCAGGAACAGGATGTGGTCAACTGGTGTTGGCTTTACACTGAGTTATCGTCCCGGTACACGGCTGTCTCGGCCAGCTGAGCCGGGCGCATGGATGAAACACGGTTTATTTTACCTCCGCTGTCATCATCCTCGTTTGTTTCTCTTTCCTCTGCGGAGCTGACGCCTCTTTCTGAGGCTGGTGGTGTGGGTTACAGCCATTACTGCTCAGCTGAGAACAGAAATAAAAGGAGCAAAGGGGTGGACCTCCCTTATTTCTTCATAGGCGGGTCTTGTCGATAATGTTACTTCGTTCCCCTGGGCAACCAGATATAGATGAAACTAATCTCATTAATGTGTGGTCTGGATGTCTGTGTTAATAATTCCTTTTCCTGTATTCAACCATACGAAAGTGTTCCCTTTTAGCACACAGCTGCTCGTACAGACGTATAATATATATAAAATGTTTACAAGTGAAAAAAAAAATCCAAGCAGGTCATGCTCACTAAAAGAGGTCATTAGTGCATCCTCTTTTCAAGCTATACTAGGCAAATAACATTGCAAATTACTTCCACCCTCTGATGAAACTTACCCTATTTTTTATATATATATCAATACAAGGATTACATTCTAAAGAAACGTTCAACTGCCCAGTGAAATTGTTGCCAAATATACATTTGCCTCACTGACTGAACAACCCCTTATAGAGCTTGTAAACAATCCTCTACAACCATATGTACTGCCAAATTGGGTAGAAACGGTTGATCATATTAAAATGATGTGCTTAAAGAAGAAGTTGCCCTTTGATTGAGAGAAACTACAATTTAAACAACATTACCAGCTTTTCTGTTCTGCTTTTATCTCCACAGGAGGCCATCAATCTGCTTGAGCCCATGACCAACGACCCGGTGAATTATGTGAGGCAGGGCGCCCTCATTGCCTCTGCGCTCATCATGGTCCAGCAGACCGAAGTCACCTGTCCCAAGGTAAGATATTCATGTTTGCTTGTTTATTTTACACTTATTGAAACACCTTATTTATCAATGAAATGGCTTTATAGCCTTCAATCAAAACGACATGGATCAAGTCTTTTGTCGAGAGATCTCTTTCATAGGTCTATCTGACATTAAGCAGGGCAGGGAAAGACCAGTGCAATTGCTTACTCAAGAGTGAGGACAAAGAAAGGAGAAAAGGGGAGCTGCTTGACCAAAGACAGAAGGCATTCAACGGTTAAGACCAAGGGAAAGAAATCTGTGTCATGTAAGACTTGAGAGTGACTAGTCCAGGCCTAACTGCACGCTCTCACCCTCGGAGCACCTCATACTTTGTCATGGACAGTTAAGATTTGCCAGACACATTTTCAAAGACTCCTCATCTGCACTGCAACAGTCCTTAAAGCTCAAGGTAGTGAGCAGGATTGTGAAAGAGGCAGTGGAATGTCAGGAGGTATAACATCCACGGCTGTTTATTTCAAAGCCCTACTCTTTGTAATTTCCAGCTGTGCTTCACAGTTGTTGGCAGAAGTATTAGACCTTTTAGTTTCTCAGTGGTAAATTGCCCAAATTGGCTGCGTACTACCCATCAGTGTTAACTCTGTTCCCTGTGGTAATGACGGGACTCCCACATGTACTACATCAGGTGCGTGTGGCATTGTGATGAATTATGCTGACAGTGTGCTAGTTTGAAAGTGTCACAGGTCGCAATATGCTTAACATAAACCTTCCCCTTTTGTTTGATGGGGCCCTGTAACAGAAAGTCACAGAGTTGGCAAAAAAAATGCATCAATTCAGCCTTTTAAAGCAGTATTTAAAAGTGTTAGGGGGTTCTAGGTTAACCTAGTCTTATTTGTATATTTGTGTTGCCAAGAGTTTCCAAGGAGAAAACTAATATAGAAATGTAACTTGTTGGAAGTAATACAGCCATCATTTGTGTAATGCTGTATGTAGAACATGTGCATGATGAGTAATCCACTTTAACATGGAGTAGCAATATATTTTAGAGCAGCATCCATTTGTGGACTTGGCGATCAGTCAATCAAGAGAAATAATTGCTTTTTTTTTCTTTTTTCAAACACTTTTGATAATAAATGTGATTTTATCACGCATAAATAGACACAACAATAACTGAACCTGATCCAAAGCATCAGACACAAATTCAGTGTTTGGGTTTGCTATTTTGCTATTGGTGTCATAACTTCAAGTGTTTCACATTAACACATTTTCATCCCCTCTCTATTCTAGGTGAACCAGTTCAGGCAGCTTTATTCGAAAGTGATCAACGACAAGCATGATGACGTTATGGCCAAGTTTGGAGCCATCCTGGCCCAGGGAATCCTCGATGCAGGTTAGTTTCCAAACAGGAGAGCACAAGACATATCGGACAGATATGTGAGGTCTGGTAACTGGAAGGACACCATCTTGATTTCATCAGAGTTCAATGGGTTTTTCCATGGCTGTCACTTGAAACTGAGATCAATCCGGTCTGTGGTCCCACCTGCCTCCGTGTCTTCACCCCTCAGGGGGATACCAAAACACCCACATGCTTAATTAGTGTGTGTGTGTGTGTGTGTGTGTGTGTGTGTGTGTGTGTGTGTGTGTGTGTGTGTGTGTGTGTGTGTGTGTGTGTGTGTGTGTGTGTGTGTGTGTGTGTGTAATGCTAATCAAGCGAACTCGCAGTAACCATCTCTGGTTGGCCACCGTGTCTCTGGAACAGATCATGCTAAGGTGCATTAGCGCCTGGCGTCCCCCCCTCAGCTCCGGTCTGCTCTCAGCCATATGGCCCGTTGGTCTCTTGGTGATTACTGTTTGTCTGATGGTGTTTGTGTGTCTGTGCAAGTGTTTGTGGACACAAGCATGCAGCATGTGTTTTATGTGCGTGGGGTTCTAGAGAGCTGAGCCTCATCACATGGAGGGCTACACACTCGCGTACATGTATGTATACACAAACCCTCGATGCAGCCAGGAGCAGAAATCCATTTTCTCGCACCAACATAAAACCCTGTGTGCCGAGCCAGACAGAAACCAGCTCTGTTTACACACTGCTGTCCAAATACACCATCAGGTGTTGCAACTTACACAAAGTCAAGTCTATCTGAAGTATTTGCATGTGTACTTGAAAGGAGAAGTGCAGCGCATGTGTTTTTGAGATGTTGTGACTCATGAATGTTTTTCCTCGATCATTAAGTTGCCTCTTGATTAACTCAGCCCCGCTTGCGGCGATATCTGATGGTTGATTTTGTTCCGAGCAGATTAGCCATCTTGATGACAGACAGGACCCTAAATCATATTTCAAATCAGGCACATTAACCGTAATGAACTCGGCAAACATGCCAAGATGACCCTGCGTGAGACCATCCAGACAAAACCCTGACCACCGGTTTCATTTTTCATGCAGCGTGAGACCATGCAGACACCCCCCCCGCCCCCAGCTCCCTCATGCCGAAAACTCCAGCTCTCTGTGTTAACCTTAACGCATGTTTTCAGTAGGATTCAGTGTGTATCTTACAGGTTTAAACCAGTCATGCAGGGAACACACCCACTCCTGTTTGACTGTCAGACATGCTCAAGCTTGGTGTGGAATGTTTTTAGTATCCTGGTTCTCCTTGGGGGGGGTTGGGCGGTTTTTGAGGTGCCACGGGTAATTGTATTTAAATTTGACGGGAGGCGGTAAAAGGCGTTAGAAGTTTCAGTTCATGATCCCACTGGGTGCCCATTACCCAGGAAATGTCAGTCTCTTGTGGGCTCATTCTCCTCAACCTCTACATGCTCCATTTCCAACATGTAAGACTTTTCCCCATGACTAATGATGGTCCATGAAATTTGTATTTATTTTGGGGTTCCTTCCAAACCGTACATTATGCCCCCTTGTTTTCATCTTTTTCAAAGTGGACACCAGCAATGCAGGTTGAATGTTGGTGTTGTAATTGAGCACCTTTTTAGAGGAAAATCACTTTCTATCCCGGGGGCCCTCACAACTCTTGGGAAATGAAAGTTGGGGGCCCCCACCAAACTCAGAGTGGCAAAAAACAGCCGGGTTGGGGAGGGGGCCTAGGTCAGTGCTCTCAACCTTCTTCTCAACTTTTAAGAGACTCTTAAAGCACCCAGTTGTGGGTTGCAGCAGGCGGAACCTTGTGACCCTCCATTCTTGCCGAACGTTTCAGTCCCGTCGGCTCGGGAATTGTCCTGAACCCTGGTTTCAGCATGTCAAGATTGGCTTTGGTTTTAAAATCTCCCCAAGGGCCTCAGAAAAGAAAGTGGACCCGTGCAACCAAAGTCAAGCAGAATGATTTAAAGCCTGGCATTGTCTTCTGGATAACCTTCTGCCCCTTGGTAACCTTCCCCATTTTTTTTTTAAAGGACGTTTTCTTTTTCATCCTACACTAATGACGGATTCCACCCTCGCCTGTCTCCTGCCCAAGTCTTCCCTCCCCATCCTCTTGTCTTCCTTTTCAAATCCCCTTCCTATGTTTGGTCCCAGAAAAGGCCAAAAGGGAGGGTTGGTGACCCTTTTTGGTAGTACCGGTTCCAAGGGTTAGCCACCCCTGACCCTGTTGCCTTCACCTTTTTTGTTCAACTCTGCCGGGACACGTCTGAACCCTCCAGGTGCCCATACTGCCTCGCACAGAAAAAAACTGAGAGGAATGAGGGCCCCTAATCCCTAACATTCCTGGAAACCGCAGATGGAACGGTGGTTGGCTAATTTCCTTGGGACATCTGAACACACCTTGGAGCCTCACATCATCAAAATGATCTGACTCAAAACGGTTTGAAAAAAGCCCCCTGTAGACATGCCATTCCCCTGGAGGTAGTTGGGCTCCACCCAGTTTTGTTCTTTGTAAATAATAAATCAATCGTATTCGGAACAGAGTTGAACCCGACCCGACGCCTTCTCAGGGTGGTGACCAATCCTGTCTCTGTGGCCCTCCATTAACCTTCCCACTATTTCATTTATATGTACTTGGGCCCACTGTAAATTTTTAATATATTATGCAGCGGTGATAAAAAATGGATGGTGGCACAATTTCCCTTTTCCCCCGAAGCAAGTGTCTGTGTGTTTGGTCTTTTGATGGTTCTTGGGTGTTGAGTTGTGTTTGTTTCACAATCAGTTAACCAAGTAATGGAAGGTGTTTTTACAATAAAATAGATTTTTTGTTATATGGTTACAGATGCAGGTTGGCTCTTAACTTTTGGGGCACATCTTTAGCTTTTTGAATTTTGCTTAAAGGTTACTTTTAACACTGAAAGTTTATTACGATTTTGATTACCATTGGAAAATGTTCAATGGATTCTTAAAAGCAGTGTTTTTCCCTTGGTATAAGCTCATCAATTAGAATGCCAGCGATTATTTCGAATATTTCGTTTACAGTCTCCATAATCGGAAAATAATTTTTTTAAAAATTAGGATTTATTATATTTTTAATTATTATTATGTTTTTTTTTTTTTTTTCTGCTTAGTTTCCAACGCCAAAATATAGACTAATGCCCTAACAATAGATAGTACTAATAATGTGTAAATGCCATTTGGTTCACATGCCACACAGAGTTTATTTTATTGTAAACTTGGAGGAAGCAAGCAGGCTGCCTACCACACCGACACCGCCCTTTTTAAACTTGTCCTTATCATCTTTGAATTTACAATATATGTAAGGTTGTTACCATCAACACTGACCACTCTCTTCCCTCTCCCTCTGTCCAGGGGACGTAACATGGACCCATCATCTCTGCCCAGTCCAGGACGGGTCACCTCCACTATGCAACAGTGGTCGGCTTGCCTGGTCTTCACCCAGTTTTCCTGGTTTCTGGTTCCCTCTCACTTCTGTTCCATTGGCCTTCACACCAACCTGCATTATCGGCTTCAAACAAAGGACCTTAAGGTCTGAGCCTGGCTAATCAACTGCTGGTCGATTGGTGTGGTCAGAAGACGTGTGTGTGTGTAGAACAACTGCAAGAATGTGACCTTTTGTTCTAATGCTAATTAAAGACAATAGATTCAAGGTGCCCTTTTTTTACATTGTCCCATCCTGATCACTGGGTTGCAAAACGCAATTGAGTTCAATTTATGGATAACACATGAAAACAGTAAGTGTGTTCCTGTATGGAGGAAACTTTTTAAAATGTGCAACCAGGGAACAAAGGAAGCAGCCCAAAACTTCTGGGTTTTTTATACAGAGGCCAAATGAAATGGCTGGATTCAACATTTAACAGCAAAGGATCCTGCATATACATTTTCCAATATAGCAGGAATTTAGTTAAATATTGGTTTTCAGGGCACTCTCCGACTACTTTTTTTTTCACCACCCTACTGAGGAATACCAATCAAGTCCGT